AAACGTCTGTCCCATCTTCCTTCCTTCACCCTGTAGGCTACGGGGTCTCATCTCTCTTCCCGCGACCAGACCAGCTGATCCGCGGGGCCCCTGGCCTATTTCCTCAAGCCCCACGTTGGGCGCCACTTGTGCCGGCTGCACCATGCACTCTCCTCCTAACAGGAGCAGGCTGCCCGGGTCACACCTACCAGTCTTCGGAGCCTACCCGGATAAACATAGAGACGAGCCAATCAGGAGGTGCAAGCACTCGAACTTTACTCAGAGACCATCACAGCAAGGCCAAGAAGGAAAGCAAGAGCAGGAGCAAGAGAGCAGGAGCCAGTGAGAGCCCCAATCCCTACCCCCCTTGTATACCTTCCTAGCCCCTCCTCGCTACAACCCCCACGTGGCACGTAGCCAACATCAGATAATCCCTCACACCTGTCCCATCTTGCCACAACTCCCACGTGGCACGTAGCCAACATCAGACAATCCCTCACAACCTTGGGCAAATCATTTAACTTGGAGGGGGAGATGATGAGGGGGTGGGGGGAAAAGGGAAGTCATCTCTGAGATGGTCATGCCAGACTGACTATCCTTTATTTTTTTTAAAGACATGATTACTAAACTGTTAGATCAGGAGAATGTTGTAGAAATTACTTTAATGAAGCATTTAAAAAAGAACCTGAAACTATTCTTGTAGTAAAGATAGAAAAATGAGGGCAGTAATAAAATTAGATGGATAAACTGGTTGAATGACTGGGAGTCAAAGAGTAGTGGCTAAGGGTTCCCTAGCAGGAGGTCACCAATAGAATACTATAAGAATCTGTGTTTGGTCCTGGTTTAAATTTTTATCAGTAATTTAGATAAAAGCATAAATTTCATTCCTCTCCAGGCTGCACTCCTAACCTCCTAATCCAGAAGCTCACTCAACCCTGGAATTCATACACTGGAAGTACCCTGTTCCCTGTTCCCTGAGAATGGATGGCTCCTCCCACTTAAGGAAGGCATCTGGATCAGACAAGTCTCCTTCTGGGTATTTTTGTTTCTTCATTTGCCACGCCACCCCCCCAGCTTTTCAGCTTCTTTTTATTTGTTGTCTTAGCCCATTACAATGTAAACTCCTTGAGGGCAAAAACTGTCTTTCTTTCTACTTTTATTTTTTATTCTCAGCACCTAGTATAGTGCCTGGCACATAGTAAATATTTAACAAATGCACATTTTTTACCATAAATGAAACCAGACAGAAAATATAAGAAAACTGCACCTAAATGGAAGGACAGTGCATAGGTCTTCTTGGAAAGGCAGATAAAGGCATATGTGTCTTATGCCAAAGCATAGTTGGTTTTATCATGTGTCCAAAGGCAATGAGAAATACTATTTCATGGGATCCTTAATCATATCACATTGCAATGTTGATGATGAACATAAATGATGATGAAAAATTACATGGCCAATAAAGATTGCAGCTTCTGTACGGATATGTTGTAGAAAATAGGGAGGCTGAGACATTCTATGAAGAACTCAAGAAGATCTTCCAAATTCAAACAATAATTTCATACTCTACGTCTTGGGATTCCTAGTTACCTTCAGAGCTCAGCTCAGACACCTAATCCTATATGAGGCCTTTCCTGATCCCCACAGCTAATAGTATCACCCCTAACAATTAACTTGCATTTATTTTACATATATTTTACATACTTACATGTTGACACCTCCTATAGAATGTAAACTCCTTCAAAGTTATGAATGTTTTATTTTTGTTTCTGTTGTAACTAACCCCAGAGCCTAGCAAAGTGCTTGTCACATAACAGACACTTAATATATGCTTACTGAATGACTGATGGATATTCAGTGACTTCAATATAAAGATAGGGTTTGGGGAGGATGGCAAAAAATATTCTGGAAAACATAGCACAGGAGTAAGAAATGAAAAAGGGTAAATGCTTGTGCAAGTTATAACTGTTGTCTTCAAGTATAAAGGAATGTCTCTAAGAAGAAGGCTCTTACAAGGACATTGGCCATCACTGTGGATGATGTCTAGTACAGAATTCAAAAGGATGAAGGATTTCCCTGTGGATGATAAGGGCACCAGATGGTCCTGTCTCAGGATGATATTGTACTGATTGCATCAATCCCTGAAACACTGCAGAGCATCCTAAAGGAGATCTTCAGTCATTCAAAAGAGTTCTACCTAATTATATATTATTACAAATATCTAATACTTAGACTCTGATACACAGCTGAGACGACAACTACCTATCTAATAGACAGCTATCCACCCTATATACATAGGAAAATGGACGGCATAGTAGAAAAAACACTAAGCCTGGAGTCAGGAAGACTTGAGCTCAAATCTAGCCTCAGATACTTACTAGCTATGTGACTGGGCAAGTCATTAACCTGTTTACTTCAGTTTCCTAAACTGTAAAATGGGGATAATAATAGCACCCACCCCTTAGGGTTGTTGTGAGGATCAAATGAGATATTTGTAAAGGGCTGAGCACAATACCTGGCACATAGTAGGTGCCATATAAATGCTAGCTATTATTATTAATTGATAAAACTAGTCTATCCAACATAGTCTATGGCCAAGACAGTTTAACAGCCACTACAGATAGACAATGAACTGAGTCCCAAATTAAACAGAAGGAAAACAAGTTGAGTTGCTTTTGAGAAAGTACACAGTGCTTTTTTAATAACCCCAAACTTTTCCTAAAGACAAAGGTCCACTTTTTAAACAGCGATATTCTCCTGGTAATATTTAAACAGTAATATTCTCCTGGCATGGCTATAAGTCTTGGAATACAAGTCTCTAAAAATCTGAAGTTGAGGGTCACCCAAAGGGACAGTGGGTGGAAACATAGTGGATGTGAATACATATTCGACAAAGAATTGCACAGGGAAAGTGGAATAAGGGAGGGCACAAAAGAGATATATGACACTGGGTGAGAATGACAGATAACCAATTTCCATCTGTAAACTAGATATAGCTCTGAACCATATATTATCTCTGGGAGAGTTCATCAACCCTTCTCATAGTTTATCACAGGATTTAGAACTAGAATGGCCTTTAAAGCTCTCCTTCACTTTGCATATAAAGAAGGGTATCTTTTTAGATCTAAAATCCAGGTACTCTGATTTAAAATCTCATATTCTTTCCATTACACTCTTTTGACTCTCCATTTGGGATCTACTATGGCAACAGGATTCACTCTTTTGTTCATCTGGAGATAAGGAAGGCTGCCTGCTACCTAGCTTAAGAGAAGGTTTGAAGAAGAGATCACCATAAGAAGCAGCAGAAGGCATTATTACTACCCTGTAAGGACTCCGCAGTCCAGACTCTAGTCTTTCCACATCAAGGTGATTTCACTGAATCCATTTAAACTGTCTTGAGCTGATTTCAAGAGAGAATTCTGGGTGTTTCTGAAGAAGCCATCACTCTGGTGAAGTACTAGAAGGGAACTCAGTTTGCAGAGGTGGTCTCAAAGGACCGCACTTACTAGCAGGGCCAGAGACAAGAGCAGCAGCGTAGTGCTGAAAAAAGTCACATGAAATGGAAAACCAGGACGCAGGCAGTTCAGGGTCATAACGAAACCAGCTGGGGTTAAACTGACTTTACACATATAAACACTCTCAACACTGACTTTGAAAACTAACAGCTAGTAGATGACAACTTTAGTAGTTCCTAAAACTTATCATTATGAGAATGAGTTAAGTAAATCATATCATGAAGAGTTGAAGTAAATGAACAATCAGATACTAGCCATTCATTTTTTCACCTTTCGACCTTAAAGGAGTACTAAAAGCTCAAGAAACAGTAATGAAGAGGATCAGTATAACAGTTTTTAACTCCAACATATCTTTCAGATATTTTGTTTTTTAAAAGATGTCATTTTTCTCTCTTGGGTTTTCATTTTTTCCCTTTAGTTTTGAAAGTGATTCTCAGACAATTAATTGTTACATTATGAGATTTCTGAAGTCTCTTCAACACCTGAGACATGACTCATATAAAGTAAATGCAAGTAAATGACTACGTAGCTTAATTATTTTAATTCACTCCAGGACTAATAAACTGATGCTATCTCTTGTTAACATCTGCGCTAGCATCTTCTTTTTACTTTCTCCACTCTTCATGCTGAAAAATAAATGAGGCCATGGAATGTGAGAATACAATCTAATCACATTTCTCAAACTAGAAGAGCATATTCCATGCCCAAATGATACACACACATGAACTTCCCTTCAAATAAAAATTTCAACTTGCTTTTCAAAGGAATCACGGGTTGGGCCTGTGTTTCCACTGGTGTATGGAACTCCCATTGGGAAAACTTTCCCCCCTGATTCAGGTCAGTACCTTTTCTGCAACTTGTAATTTTACAGAGGCCTGCCTAGAATGGAGATGTCAAACACAGGAAGTAAGGCAGCAACACTCCCCAGGACAACCCGGAACCAGGTTAAAATGTAATTGGAAAATACGTAACAAAATAAAAATACAATGAAACAGAGATAATGTTAATATTTGGTTTTCTAAGTCAATATGTGGCCCCAGCAATCCTTATGTACAGCTTGGTGGTCCCCATTTCTATCTGAGTTTGAAACCACTGGCCTAGAGCACTGGAAAGTTAACTGACCTGCCCCAAGGTCAAACATCCCACATGTGTCAGAGGGAAGAGTTGAACCCAGGTCTTCCCAGTTTTAAGGCTGACTCTCTATCTACTATACCATGCTGCTTCTCATAATGTAAATTTATCATAATATAAACTTTATCTTTAAAAATTATTCATGCAACTAAAGCCAGAACTTTTTTTTTTGCTTTTTTTTTTTGGTGAGGCAATTGGGGTTAAGTGACTTGCCCAGGGTCACACAGCTAGTAAGAGTCATGTGTCTGAGAATGGATTTGAACTCACGTCCTCCTGACTCCAAGGTCAGAGCTCTATCCACTGTAAAAACCAGAACTCTTAAACTTAATGTTTGAAATCCTAATCATTTTAATCTCCTTCTCTGATGTTTAAACTTACCACTGGAAGTGTGAGCCAGGTTGCTACAAGGCGATTGTTGATCCAGCGATACCAGGATGGCCTTATAAACATCAAAGGTATAAAAGGACCCAACATGAAAATACTTCCAAAAAAGCTTCCCAAAAAGAGTGAAATCATAAAGTATATCCCCTTCAATGACATCATGGCTCTGAAAGACATTAAAATCAATATTTTGTTAACATACATCCAATCTCTCTATTCTCCCCTTCAAACTAATTTGTATACTTTATTCTTTGATCATTGTCCAAGTATGAGCTATGTTACTCAGATCATTTAAGAATAACAGGGAGTATGGTGGAATAGAAAGAAGATTAGGCTGTAAGTCAGAAAACCCAAATGCTAGTCTCAGCTAAGCCACCAAAGAGCCTTGTTCAAGTCACTTAATTTATTTAAATCTCATTAGATTACTTCCACAGTAATTTCCTGATCAGAAAATGTCTATGACCATGCTTCAAAATAGCAAGATACATAAGACTAATAAGGTTAGTTAGGCCTTATTTAGCACCAGAAATGTCTGTTATGACATGCATTTGAAACAAACCATGTGAGACAGATATTTTCATCAAATTAAATATTTTTACTATCTGGCTACTAGAACTTCTGGACATTGTATACATTATAATCGATATCTTCATTTCTTCAAGGAGAATAAAAGTATAGCACTACATTTTATAATACAGGAAAATATTAAGTCTTTATAGAATAAAATCACTGACTTCTTCATGAGAAGAAAAACTGAAATAAATATCAAAAGCACTTTTTAAGTTTTTCATAACAGGTATTAGGTATATAGAAGGAGATAAGCTATTAATTAATTTCAATTTTTGGAGATTTCTTTGCCCAGGGTCCATAACTGAGCAAAGATGTTGCCTCCTGAATGATATTCTCTTTTTCTTTTTGCCATTCACTGCTTGCAAGGGTGAGTGAGCTACTCTTCTTTAATCAAGCAAAATTATATTGTATTTTGAATTTTGTATAATCCAAAGCAGCTAGAAAAAAATTGGCTAAAAATAAACAACAACAACGAGACTTAATTTTCACACCAACCCTAGCAGGCTCTGAAGTCAGTGAACAGCAGTCACTAATCATAATTCATAGCCTATTCCTACACATCTCCACAGTTTCCCCAGAAAGAACTCTAAAAGCACTTTGTACCTCTCACAAGCACTTAGCACATGCTACTTCTATATGTGTGTATGCATATCTATGTATATATGAAGGTATATATAATACATATACACACATGCATATATGTACATAGAGTACATGTCTTATCTTGCCATTAAAATTATATAATGCTTTAAGGTTTACAAAGATCTTTAGCCACAACCACCCAATGAGGCAGGCAGTATAAATACTCTTAAGAATCTTTGGTGGCAGTTGAATCCAGGTTGGCTGATGCCATCTACTACACCAGAAGTATCAAACATGGAGTGAGTCAAATTGCAGGGGCCTGCAATATTCCCAAGTACCCCACACCCCAACCAGATTAAAATGTAACTGGGAAATACTTAACAAAATAACGAAAATCCAATAGAAAACAGATAATGTCACTATGTAGTTTTCTAAGCCAGTATGTGGCCTCAGGGATCCTTATATATAGTTTAAGATCTATTTCCTGTTTCTATTAGAGTTTGACACCACTGCACTACACCATTATCTTATCTATTTCTGCATATAGCTGAACAGCATTAGCACTCAATAAATGTTCAATTGCTGAATTCATAGGGGGTAGAAACTAGCTATCTGGGAGTGATTTTTCTTTTCATATCTCTAAAGGATAAAAATCAGCTTTCTATTTACTAAATAAAATCTTTTGCATGAAGCCTTTCCTTAGCCCCTCAAACTACAAGCATTCTCCCTGCCAAACTAGTTCGTACTGAATTCTTTAGTATGTGTATGTATGTATGTATGTTAATGCTATGCAAACTGTCTACTTTGTATATCTCAGTGCAATAAATTATCCATGCCAAATTATTAATCAATGATAAGGCATTTATTAAGAGCCTACCAAGAGAAGGTCAAAATGGATAAATGATTTAGACATAAAGAATGATATCCTAAGCAAATTAGGGGACCATGAAAAAATGTACCCGTTAGATTTACGGATAAGGGAAGAGTTTGTGATCAAACAAGAGACAGAGAGGATTATGGGAAGTAAAACAGATCATTTTGATTACATGAAATTAAAAAGTTTTTGCACAAACAATACCAATGTGGCCAAAATTAGAAGGGAAACAGGAAACTGGAGGAAAAAACTTTACAGCAAGTAAAGGTCTGATGAAGGCCCCATTTCTCCAATATATAAGAAACTGAGCCAAATTTATAAAAAATAAGAGCCATTCTCCAGTTGATAAATGGTCAAAGGATATGAGCAGGGCATTTTCAGAAGAAGAAAACAAAGCTATCTGTAGTCATATGAAAAAAATGCTCAAATTACTACTGATTAGAGAAATGCTTAAAATTAAAACATCTCAGAGATACCACCTCACACCTATCAAATTGGGTAACATGACAGAAAAGGAAAATGACAAATACTGAAAGGAATGTCGAAAAATTGGGACACTAATGTACTCTAGGTGGAGCAGTGAACTAGTCTAACTATTCTGGAGAACACCTTGGAACTATGCCCAAAGGGCTATAAAACTGTGGGTACCCTTTGACCTAGGAATACCACTACTAGGTCTGTATCCCAAAGAGATCAAAGAAAAGGGTAAAGGACCTATTTGTACAAAAATATTTATAGCAGCTTTTTATATTTGCTGCTACTTACAGCAGCAAAGAACTGGAAATTGAGGGGCTATCCATCAACTGGTGAATGGCTGAACAAGTTGTGGTTATATGATTGTGATAGAATACTATTGTGCTATAAAAAACGATGAGCAAGATGGTTTCAGAAAAACGTGGGAAGACTTATGAACTATTGCAAAGTGAAATGAGCAGAACCAGGAGAACATTGTACACAGTAACAGCAATCTATTCTGATCAAAATAATGACCAATAAAATTCCAAAGGACCCATGATGAAAAATGCTATCCACCTCCAGAGAGAACTAATGAATTCTGAATGCAGACTGAAGCACATTTTGTTACTGTCTTTATTTTTGTTTTACTTTGTGTTTTCTTTTGCAACAGCAACAAGGCTACTATAGAAATGTTTTATGTTACTTCACATATAACTGATAAGGCAAAAAATTGCCTTATCATTGAGGGGGGAGAGGAAGGGAGGAAGGGAGAATTTGGAACTCAAAATTTTTTAAAAAGTAAAAAATAATGTTTTTTTAAAAAGGATAAATATGGCAAATATGATGAATGCAGAGAAATAAAAAGATTTAAATGACCTGATGCAAGGCAAATAAGTAGAGTGAAGAAAATAATACATACACTGACAACCACAAGATAAATGAAAAGATCACCAAAAAGAAGTCAAACTCTGAGTAATTGAAAATCCAATGGAGGTTCTACAGAACGAATAAAAAAACTTCCTCACTCACTGAAGAAAAGCAGGGGACAACTGGATGTTTTTATTTGTTTTTCTTTGTCACAAAGAAAGGTTTTATCTTGAGAAGGGGGATAAACGGCTGTAATGTTAAAGCAAAAAGTACCAATACAATGTATCTTAAAAAAAACAACAACAAAGTTACAAGACGGGGAAGAAAAAAAAGTAGGCTACAATTCAGGTTTCAAAGTGCTGAGGGGCAGATAATGCCACACACAAACACACATCCCTCACATTACTATAAATGTGCCTGTAAATTCTTATGTGATGGCAGAACTTCAAGTTATTGGTAGTCTTGAGTTCCCATATTCTTGTTGCCACAGCAGAACAAAAAACATGAAGTTTTAGGCTTGAAGTAACAGGAAACATTAATTCTTAAAATATCATTTTTGTTTTACATTTAAGTTAATTTTAAACTTCCCTGGCTCAGTAACGTCAAATTACTTTCCAAAACAGTTTCATTTTTGTTTTTTTAGCAAATTTCTACTTTACTAGAATTTATTCTTGGACCATTAGAAATACCTTAATAATTCACTTAGATGAAGGGGAAGAAGAATATGTGTTCCTATGATCTTTTTTTTAAATTTTGTCCATTAATTCAATATTGAAACTAGGCTTTGTTTTTGTTTTTTGAATTCATGGTACTACTGAAACCCCTTCTCAAGTATCTAAAGCAGAATATGAACACAAACCTATTTTTTTGGTCCATAAAAATCAGTTGAAGATGTTATATTTATTTTTGTAGATTCTTAAAAATGTTTCAGCTGATTTCACAACTCAAGGGGGTAGCCCCTGGGCAGCTGTCAAGTCTGTGACCATGTACATCATTTTCTTACGATCCAAGGTTTTAGATAGGAGGTTTTAGATAGACTCCTCACTGCCCCCTCAGAATTCTTATTCCATAGATTCCTGCAAGGCCCAGCTCAGGTACCACCTCCTCAAAAGATATATGGATGTGTGTATGTACACACACACACACACACACACACACACACACACACGAATTTCCAAGTAGAATGTAAGATACTCAAAAGGCAAGGACTGCTTTTTATTTTTATTTGAATCCCCAGTGCCTGGGAGTATTTTATAGTTAAAAGACTACAGTTATCCCTTCCATGTTGTTGGGGTCAGGGGCACAATGCCCCTGTGATCTGGAAAATCTGACTAAAATTTTTTGGCCCTCCCTTCATACCAGAGAAGAAATCTAAATTTTTCCTTTTCCTTTTATGGGGTGTTTGTAGCACTTTATTGCAAAATTTGGGGTGATATTATACAATACTATACATATATTTTATGGATTTCTGAGTTTCTAAACTTTTTCTGTTTTTGGACATGGCCAATATGGGAATTATTTGGCTTGACTATGTTTGTTACAAGGCTTTTGTTTTTCTTTGCATTTTTCAGTTAGTTGTTTGTGGGAGGGAGAGGAAATAAAAATTGTGTTGAAGTGAGGTAGGTGACAGCTTAATTGAATCTAAGGGTAAAGAGCCTACCTTTCAATAACAGTAGACACTAAGTAAAAGTTGGTTTTGCTTTTATAATAAATTTGGGGTCACCACCACTGTCTCTTTAGTTTCTGTGGGCTTTTTCCTTTCCCCAAAGTTTCCCTGGACTATTTCTCTCCATTTCTACTAATCTATCTCCTCTGCT